CATATGGGCTGATTTTAGCTGATCTACGTGATATAAGAATGTGATATTTCAATGGTTACACTAATCTAATAACAAGGTAATCAATGTCGTCCAAACCATTTTATTGTCTCTTATGTTCTAAAACTTATTCAACGAAAAAGTCGTTGGTATCTCACGAAGTAAATAAACACCCACGTAACCGTGTCGTACCTCATAGCTCTGGGTTTGAGCTTCCTTCTAGTTGGTGCCAGTGCCAATTTCGTTCGGTTTTTCTTGCGAATGTAAAGTCCCGCCTTCATACTCACCGGTCAGCCCAAGGCTTCAAACAATTTACTATACACTGTCATGAAAATCTTTTTTTTTATGTATTTCACCAAGAACCAGGTTTTGAATACCGGTCGGCCCAGCGAAAGTATAAATGTACATATAAGGGAAAAGACGGATACCAAAAAATCGGCTACATTTTCGCGCATCCTGGCTGGGGAGAAAAAAAAACAAAAACAGGAAGTGTGGTTAAAGTAGCGACTGAAAAGAAGGATTCTGAAACACAAAAGATGGTCGAAGCTGAGTTTGGGTTCTTTTGGGAAGAACGAACAACAGAGGAGGAACATAATGAAAAAACTTATACATGGGTTTATGGACTTTTAAAATTTACATTCGAAATTTGTAAGCGAAATGTAGTTGTAGTTTAAATTTATTTTGTTAAATTTATGATTTTTTTAGAGTAGGATAGTGGCGTTTCATTAATATAATAATAAAGCTGTCTATTCTCATATGAACATATTTCATATGCTACGGATTTTAGAGAATTACCACCACCCATCGTAGTGCCTCCGTAAAATAATTGAACATGCTCATGATTTTTCTTTTCAACACCTGAACACGAAAACCATCGTAAACATAAATCTTTTGTTTTAAGAAACTTCATAAATTTTGGAATATGACATGCGAGTACATGCATATAGGGAGTAATATCATCACGTTGATATAGTCCCTCTTGTAAAACTTCACCTTCTCTAGTTTCGATTGTTGGTTGACAAAATTTTTTAACCCACTGTCGTGCTAAAATTTCGAATTTAGTAATCTCGTCATCCGTTAGATCAATTTTACGCATTGTTTGATACAAAAAAAAAAACTCGTGCCAAAGTGTTTGTATTTCTTTTCCTCTTCGACCCGGAACAAATAATTCAATTGGAAATTTTTCTAAAAGAACCAATTTATCGGGTCCCATTAGTGACGTCCAGTGCCATCTTCCTTTTAAATTTTCAGGTTCTTTAAATTTAAATATGCCGATGCCAAGAGAATGAATTTTTAATTCAATTTTTTCCCGAATCGTCAGATCATTATTGTTTTTTGATCGTTTATTAAATGTGGATTCAATTGATAATTCTAAAAAAAGGCATTCGAATAAAACATCAGTAATTCGAAGCATTACATGTAACTCATCAGGAATACAATGTTGATTTTCTAAAAATGGTAAAAGATTTAAATTCTTGCGGCCTAGAGTATTACAGGAATTTTCATAATCTAAGTCCATATTCCATCGATCAGTGTTTCTACAATCGCAATATAAACAAAAATAAATAGCGGTTGGTCCTTTAACGCCAAGTACTAGTGACATAAATTTCCAATCAGCGCCAAACCAAAACTCAACCGGCCAATGATTGTTATTTGAATCGATAATCCCTTCTGTATTTAAAGTTAATAGTTCTTTAATTAAAAAATTAAAAGCTTGCTGAAGGGATTCGTATTGTTCTACACCAGTATAAAGAAAAATACAATGTTGGTTCGACGGACTTAAAACTGCTTCGCGTTGATTTAATATGCAGGCAGTAAACATTACATGATTATGATGTTTACCAACCTGCCGTCCATCCCCACTTAATTTGACATGAACAACGTCACCTATTTTTAATATTGATGAATTTCCATATGCTAATTTAGGAATTAAAAAATTTAGGATATCTTTAAGCGATCGATAAGCCCCATTGGATGCTATAGAATTTATTTGAACCGGGTAAATTGGAATCATATTGTTTACAATTTTTGTAATTTCTTTTCGACGCCCTTCAACTTTATATTCACGCTCCATTTCAGGCATAACAGCCGCAAGCCTACGATATCCATCACGAGAGACTAGAAGCTCATCACACGCCCGGACTATTGAATCTAAAATCTGTAAGTTGGACTTTTTCGAATCTACATTCTGCAATTTAATAGGCGATTCATTTACACTTAATTCTACATGGTTTAATTTTGTATTATAAAAATTATGTAAGTCAAGTGCTGATTCGATTCTACTACGAACGTCATAAGCTAAGGTTTGAAGCCTGCTTTTTTTTTGCGACTCGGATTTAAGTTGATGAAAAGGTTTATTTGGTTGAATTTGAACTTGATTATTATTAACCCGTCGTTTTTCTAAACATTCAAGGTCAAATCCAAAAAGTACAATTCCGGAA